CCATGGACACAGCTCTAGGGCTGAGGGTTTTCTCTCTGATGGTGGCCACAGCTTCCTTTTTGGCACCATACCTCTGCTGCTGCTTTCCTGCCATAGAGCAGGAAGATAAATATTCTAGGCTAGGGCATCCCAAATGTGTTTGGTTGCCCCACTGCCACATTCTCCGCTATTCCAGATGGAGCTGCGGCAACTTCACCACCTACATTTGTTGTGCTTAATTAACAGCTTGGGGGCTTCCTTTTTAAATAGAGGCTAAAACAAACACTTTGAGATCCTAGCTCAGATTCTGCCAGATTTTGTCATTTTACATTTGCTTCTCAACCGGGGCTGGATGCTGTAAAGTGAAGCCAAATGTGCAAGAAGTTGCAACAGTGTGAATTCTCCCTCCCCGACAGCTTCCCAAGCTCTTGGCCTTTGTGCCGTCCTTCTGAATATCAGCAGGCCTGGGTGCACATGCAGGACTCCCTTAAGGAGGTGAAAGGTTGCTGATGGGAAGGTCCTTCCTGACCCTTGAGTAGGGATCCATTCTCCGGAAAGATTTTGCCGGTTCTTAAGAAATATCTGGCCCCTTGATTGGCAAACACACACATTTTTCTTTGTACATAAGTGGGGTTACTGTGTAGTGTGACCTCCCTACTGTTGGAGACATCAATTTGAGGGACTGCCTTGCTCAAAATAATTTCTCCATTCCCTGGAAAACATCACTTCACAGGGATTGAGTCCCTGGCACTTGTATCAGTGCTCAGAGTTCCTTTGGCAGGGCCCTTCCTTATTGAACCAAAGGTAAACATCTGATCTAAACCAGCCCAATTACTGGAAGTATTAGGGGGAGCATGGGTGGTTCAGTGGTGGAATTCTCACCTCCCATGTGGGAGACAGGTTTGATTCCCCGCACTGTTTTGGCAGCTAACAACAACAAGGAGCTGTTAACAGCTGATGGGGAGTGAAGGGCATTTTCACTCTGATGGGGAAAGCTGGAAGTTGTGAGTTTGAGGAGTTCTCAGTCATAGTCACTGCCATGCCGAGGAAGCTGGTCTACAGAAGGAGGCAATAAATTTTACCCTCAGAGAAAAGCAGAGTCATAGAGAGTAGTCAGTGTTTGAGTTCCTCCAGTTTTCCTTGAATCCCAGCTGCAGTGCTGGTCTTCCAACGGTTGTGTGAGATGCCCCATTACCAGTCAATTTTTTTTTTTCTTCTTAGCCTAAGCTGGTTGGAGTTTGGTTTCTAGAGTTTGCAACCAGGCCCTTTTTCTCATTCCATATTTATTAATGTCCATTAGAACTTCTTTTCTTTTGGGGAAATGCTGTAACTAAGAGATTTGTGTAAGGAATCAAAAAGCCCAGTACCATGACTGTACAATTTATGGTACTATTGGGGTTATGTGTTTGCTTCTAACGTGCTTATCATACAAATTCCCGCAAGGCCAGAAAGGAACCTATGCATGGTTGTGGTCCTTGGGTTTTAATCACACAGGGAAGAGGTAGGCTTTCATATAAGACAGGAGAACTGAGAAATTGGACCTTAGGTGATGTCTGTTTCTGGGCCTTGCTCTTTATTGTCAGCACTTCAGGTAATCCAGAAGGCTTGAGTGTGCCCCTGGGTAATGGTGGAAAGATAGCCTTGTTACATGGAGTTGGTCAGGGACCAGTGAACACTGGCTTTCAACCATTTTGTATCATGTCCCAGGTTAAGACATATTTTATATTGCAACTGAGCAATATAAATATAAAACTAAAAGAAAAATTCACCAAATAATACTTAAAATGATGATGTATAGTACACTCTGGTAGTTTTTGTTCCATTTCTGTAAAAAATATTGTTCGTGATCCACTAAAACTGATTTTTATCGTTGTTGTTCGTTGCCATGGTGTCAATTTCAACTCATGGTGACCTCATGTGCAGAGTAGAACTGCTCCATAGGGTTTTCAAGGCAGTGACCCTTCAGAAGCAGATCACCAGGCCTGTTCTGAGGCACCTCTGGGTGGGTTTGAACTGCCAACCTTCTGGCTAGTTGAGCGTTTGGTCTCAGGACTCATTTATACTCTCAAGAATTTTTGAGGACACCAAAGAGGTTTTGTTTATGTGGGTTACATCTATTGATATTTACTGCATTAGAAATGAAAAACGGGAATTTTCAAAAACACGAGAATATACAAACTCATATTCCACGAGCTGGCTGAGCAATGACATCCTGTATCATTTAGCCTCTGGAAAATTATACTGTATGCTTGTGAGAGCGTGACAGTGAAAAGGCAAATGAAGTCTTAAGATTATTATGAAAATGGTTCTGATCCTGTGAACCCCTTGAAAGGGTTTCAGGAATCCCTGGATGCCTGAACTACACTTTGAGAGCCTATGCACTAACGAACTGTGGCCCACAGTTTGCAAAACACTAACCTAGAAAAAGCGCAAGCTGATTATGGACAAACTGAAGCAAGTCAATCCAATTAGCTAAATTTCGTTCTCTGAATGTGTTTTCCTCTTGTTATTTCTGAGTGAGGAAGGTATTACAGTTGATGCCCCAACAATCATTTCACGCCAGATAATTAGTCTAAGCCAATCCTCACATGGCATTCCCCTGGCAACTGGTCCAGGGCTAGTCATATGTCCTAAATTGGCTCTATCAGATGGAAGAGAAGGACGTACATTGCATGGTTGGAGGAGAGGTTTTCTCTCCCCTCGGATATGAACTAGGAATGCTACTGAAGCTATACTGCAAACAGCGAGGAGACAGAAGAAACCTGGGTGCTCGATGACACTGAGCCACTAATATACTATGCCTGGAGACTCTGGAACATCTGAGAGGTCTTTGCTCCGGGTTGCTAACTGAAATGTTGGTAGTTCAAGTCCCAGAGGCACCTGGAAAGAAAGGCCTGGCAATCTACTTCCAAAAGTTGAGAAAAATACTTTATATAGTATACACAAAAGTATACCAATTTTAAAATTATAATTGTGTAAAAACAATATACTCATATATGTTTAGCAACAGTTTCTTGATATGGGGGGGGAGGAGATGATGGGTGCCATTTTTCTCTTCCTACCTTCTTGTATTTTCCAATTTTTTAAAATATTTTTTACTTTTATAATTAGTAGAAATACTGCATTATTTGATCAATTTGAGATAAAATCCCCTTAATCCTTGAGAGCTTGCCTCACATTTACTTTCCTTCCTGCCTATCAAAAGAGCTATCTGATGTACAAAGGACTGAGCATGAGATTTAGTGACTTGAAAACGAAACACAAAAAGAAAGGCACAGGAGCCAAGAATGAAACTAGAGGCAGAGTTGACTTTCCATACAAGAAAGTCAGCTTACTGTTCTTGGGGGTGGGGGTGGGGGATACAAGGGCCCTTGGAAAAAAAAAGAGGTCAAATGGTCAAACTAATTAAATAAAACTCTACTTAATTACCCTGTGGAGTACTCTATCATGGGTTGATATGAGGAAAATATTTTAGAAACTCCCAAAGAAACACTATACATATTTAAATTTAAAAAAGTCTCTAAGGTAATTTAAAGAGGAAAGAGTTTCAGGTCATAATTTCACTTTTTAGGGCAAAAACTGATTATCAGATAATTTTTTTAAACACACAGAATTAGGCAAAGTAGATTTCTTTTTCATGCCTCCTACCTAAGCAACCTTGACCATGAAGGAATATTATGAACCTTTTGAGATATTACTGAATCAAAGCAAAAGATATTCTCTAATTCCTTTTTAAAATAGACCAAGAACCCAAGAAGGGAAAGAAATGATTGTAAAGCCAGCCAATGACTGGCAGATATTTTTTATAAAGAAAACAGCTAATTCACTGCAACAGAAACTGTGTAACAATTTCCCAGCTGTTAGAATTGTTTAATAATAGCACCTGCAGCAATGTGTGACATCAATTGCTATTCTAAATAACATATGGCATAGATGCAGAAAAGGTAAGTTGTCAAACAGAACTGTGTATGTTTTGTGTTATGCCCCATGGCAAACTGCTAGCTGATCACCAACCCTGTTTCCTCTTGTTTTTGGGAACACAGCTATATATTTTCAGTTGTCTTTGTATTTATTTGTAGTTACGGACTAACTTCTAGCCAATAGAATGTGGGTAGAAGGGATGGATACCTCTTCCAAGCCTGACCCCTACAGCTCTCAAGCCTGTAATCCTCCATCTTCTTCTGCTGAGGGAATGGAGAGGACTCCAAGGACCTAGAGGTGGGAGAAGCCACAAAATGGTAAGAACCTTTGCTTCTGGGAGGAGAGCTGCCCTACCAAGAACAACCACGGTGGACTGTTGTGTAATCATTACTCTATCCTGTACGCGCCCCCATTTTTAGGCAGGTGTTATCTATGTGCAAATGACTATATCCACTCTGCCTATAAGCAGAGAACAGAAACACCTGGACCAGGTGTTTAACTCAAGACAGAGGTAGTGACATCTGGACTGCTAATTGCCCACTTGTGAAGAAAGACGGTAACACTCTAGTCATTTTCGAACAGCCCCAAAATTTTTGGCGAGGTTTAATCTGGTTATTTGAAGATAAAGTAGGATATATAATGCATATGGCCCTAACATGATTCTCATATAATCCTTTACCAAAAACATTTTTCCCTTAGGATCCTAGGTCAAGAACAAGTCTGAGGCCATTTTACCCAATCCCTTCTCATTAGGCAAAATGGATTTTCTAGAAGATCAGGAAAATTGACCTCAGAAACTAAACTGCTCTTATAGTTTAGACATGTCTGGCAATTCTTCCATGGGGATGAAGAAGAGTCAGTCAGTATTTTCCACAAACTAGCCCCTCATAGACAACCAGCAGTGAGTTCTGATCAATGAGGTTAGACCTAGTCAAACTTTTCTTCCTTGAATGAAAGTCAGAAATATCCATTCATCCAAGCTGGTCAGTGATCTAAGTTTTGATCACTTGAATACTACCATAACAAGAAAAAAGAGAGATAGAGAGATATTTAATTAAAGGAAGTCGAATCAGATAATAATGCAATGCCTTAGACCAAAATGACATTAAATGATTTTTATTTACCAAAAAAAGATAAAACATGGAAGTTGAACTCACTGAGCAAAAGCAGCTCTCCAGGTGAAGCTGCTGCACTTTGTGCTAAATAACCTCATGAACTGAGGGTATACAGAATACATATAATATGTAAGTTACCTCAACAGCAAAGGAGAAGGAGTAGAATACAGTTTTTGAAGGTAAAATTTGGTCACTTGACAAATTGAGTTGCTCAAAATTTCTAGCCCTTATCCACCTAAATTCAGTATGGTTGTACCATTATATGTTCATACTGAATTCCCATTTTAATGGAAGCTGCTTTTTGGAAGAAATTTTTTTTAAAAACTTCACATTTATTTGAAGTGTCATTCAATTTAAAAAATTGTGTATTTCATTATTTGATATCTGTATGTGTGTGTGTATGAATTTATACACAGTTTAAAAGCCCCAAACCCTTGCCTATAGGTAGAGAGGTCATGCTGGGTTTTTTAATTAATATTGGTGAATTTTATTTATTATTTCTCCTGTGTGTTTAAGAAACTTTATATGTTCTCAATGCACCCACACAGTCAGGCGGGTTGACAGATACGTCAAAAATACTTTATGAAAAGAGGGAGGTAGCTCATGCGAGGTGGCAACCTTTCGTGTATTGTTTCCTATTGGAGCAGGCTGCCTCCCTTTGACATCTTACAGTCAAAGATGAAAGGAAAACTTTTTACTTTGAAGCCTAGTGAGCACAGTTGTACATTTACTATAATTCACCTCCGACTTGACTTATTGGGCTTTCTAACGTAAGATGACAAATATCTTACACTCAGTACACAGCATCAAAAAAAGTACTGAATGAACATTTTATAGACAACACTTTGGGTTTTTTTTTCATATGTTAAACATCAGCTTCTATGAGATACAATCCAGAATGTGTGTGTTACCACTTTATAAACATTCTAAGCCAAACAAACAGCACAAATAACATCATCTTTTTTCCCGATATCTGTATCAATTACTGGAGGCTAATCCTAACATATACTACTAAAGGGGGGAAAAAAAGAAGAGAATCCGTGACACATTGCAAAGATAGGACTATAGCATCTTAGTTTCGGGGATAATCTTAAGGTGCAGAAAGAGGGGACTCTCTAGAAGGTGAAGGTGTGGTTTCTTCAGGTGGAAAAACTGTGAGTGTGCAAGCTCGGATGCCACCAAGGGACTCTGGGAGATCAAATACCTTATGCCATTCATCTTTATCTGGATCATATTTCTGCACAATCTCTACCATACAACGATTATTCCAAGAATACCCACCAACCACATAGATCTTATTTTCAAAGACAGCGACCCCAACATCACTCTGCCCTCTTAACATGGCAGCAATTGGGGTCCACTGGTCAAGGATAGGGGAATAGTATTCACAGCTTAAGACGTCATCATAATCACTTGTTCCTCTGAAGTGATTGCCACCAATGACATAGAGCCTTTCTCCCACTGTACACATGCAATGTAGGCCTCGGACGGTGGTCATTGGTGCCTTTTGGATCCATTTGTCAGTATCAGGGTCAAAGCACATAAGCTCCTTTTGGAAAGTGTCATGAGTAATTCCTCCTAAAGAATGAAAAGAATAGGCATGAAATCAACAGTAAAAAACGCAAAACTAAGTAAAAGGCTCTCTGCCATAGAAAAATAACTTTTAGCCACATATTATAGCTTATCAATAGATATGGCAAGTTTGGCAAAAGTGATAAGTTAACACTTGAGAGATTAGGTTACAAAAACTGTGGTGTCCTTTCTTGCCTTCTCAACTGCACCTTGTGAGGGAAACCATGTTGTGAGCTGCCCTGTGGAGAGTCCATGTGTCAAAGAACTGAGGGAAGTCTTCAGCCAACAGCCAGCAAGAAACTGAGGCGCTCAGTTCAATATTCATGAGAAAATGAATTCTGTCAACAATCCCAGGAGTGAGATTAGAAGCATATCCTCTTTCAGTCAAGTCTTCAGATGAGACTGCAGCCCTGCCTAACACCTAGATTGCAGCGTTGTGAGAGACTTGAGGCAGAGACACCCAGCTAAACTGCACTTAGATTCTGGAGCCACAGAAATTGTGAGATAATAAATTTGTGTTATTTTAAGCCAAAATAAAAAGTTTTCTCGTAATTATCTGTCTTCTATAAGTACTTTCTCTGGATTAAAAATAAATAAATGATTTCTTCTTTTAAAGAATTAAAACCAGCTTATATTATTACTTCCACTTTCTCAAATGGAGATCCATGGAATTTACTGAACGAAAATATATTTTGGCCACTTTCAGAGTTTGGCCTACAGTAAATCTCCACTAAAATGAACCATTTACTCCTAGCTTTTGAGTGGGCAGCCTCTGGATGCTGAGCCCTGGGGTAGGCCACTTCTAGGTATCCATTTCCTTACCTGACAAATAAGAGTTTCTACTCTAGTTATCTCTTTAGGAGTGTGATTATGAAATGAGATACATAAAGATGCTTTGAAAACGTTAAAAATGCTGTGCAAATGGACAAGCTAAAAAATTATCCATAATTGTTTGTTTTTGGTGGGGAGGGTGAGGGCAGGTAATGGCATCTGCCACCAGAATGTTCATTTGAAAAGCTCAAGAAGTAGAATGCTAAGTATATATGGAATTTTATATGTGCTGTAGTGCATTGCTGATCTATCGAGTCCATATTACCTACAAAGTATATTCCTGGATCACATATAACTCTGTCGCTATAATGAAAGTATCAGACTGTTCTGCAGACAAGGGAAAGACTAAGCTAATTTTCAGTTGTATCATTTAAAGTTCTACTGTCCTGTGGCCAGATGGCAATCATTATGTTTTCTTTGGCCTTTTAATATTATTTCTATACTTTACAAAATTCCCAGAAAGCAAAACAATGTTGTATTGTTTGAAAATTTGCTATGGTTCCTATCCTACTCTTGATAGGGAAAGTCATTTTGGCAATATATATTAGTTATGCCAAAGCACTACTAGAACAATTTGGGTGTGATTTTTTTCCCCCAGAGGATATGGAGCTATCATTAAAATGGTATAGCAGCTACAAATATAAAGTAGGTAGATGTAATAAATCATTGATTAGTGGAGCATATGATCTCCTGGATGGTTCTTTCAATATAAGCTGTCTTGGATATGCTCATGAATTTGACACCAGAACCTGCCAATCACACATTATAGGCTTTTCCCAGATCCTTCTTGATTACAGATTTCATAAGGCAGTGTTCAGACCCCAAAAATCATCTTAACACCTTTGTTCTCTAGTAATGTAACTGCTGGCTTGGCACTGGCAGGCCTTTAAAAGGAGCGAAAGCTGTGAAAGGTAAACTGATTCAGAGCCAAAAGGTAAGAATCTGCCTAATAAGGTAAATTTTTAATGCCAGAGGTGATCATTATATTAAAATAAAACTCCTTTATAAATTCTACCCAAGGATGATTTGAGAATGAAAGTTGTTACCGGGACACAGTGAGTAAATTGTAGCCATTTCAGAATTTTTAAAATAGAAATATATATCTGCAATGTAGCCAAAATACAGGTAATCAGAACAGAATTGTTTACTCAATGATATCATAGTAGAACCTCCATTAAAATGCTAAGAAAATGGAAAACATTTATATCATGAGTTGCACTAAAATGAGAGAATGAATATTATTATGTACATCAAAAGCATGTTTGTATGCACAGTAGAACTTATGTTATATAATAATATAATTCCTCAGAGTTTAGCTAAACTTTGAACAAAATGGATTAATTGTTGCTGTAATGAATGTGAATGGTGATTAATACAGAGTACGGAGAGGGGAAAACAATTTGGAAAATCTGAACACCTTCCAATTACTTCTAAATTATACATTTACAGCAGGATTGGTTTGCTGCTAGTCTTATGAACTAGTAGAATGTCAAAGGCATTCATATGCAAATGTACATACAAAAATGCCTTCTAAGCTGAACATAAATTAAATTTGGATTATCTACTTTTCTGGATTATTACTATTACAACTACATGGAAAGATGACCATATAATTAAAAGCTTATGTATCATATTAATTGTATCCACATGATAACTTTTTACCTGAAATATACATTACTCCTCCATACACAGTTCCAGCATGTCCATAGTGCGGCTCACTCATTTTGGCAACATAGGTCCATTCATTCGTTCTTGGATTATAGCATTCCACTGTAGCTATTATTTAAAAAAAAGAAAAATATATTTTTAATCTCAAATTTAGCAATTAACTATTTTTCCTTTTAGGTGAAACAATAATAATATCCAAATAACTGAAATATATCTATCACATGTATCAGAAAATATTTAAGGATGATCTTATAGCAATTGTTGAGACTACATTAATAATATGAGCCATTAATACACATTACGTTAGACTAGAAACAATATAATAAACACGTTTCCATCACTGAAGAAATCTCTGGGATTTATTTTCTTCTAATATCTGTTTAAATCTTTATAATTTGAAATTGTGTTTATTTTTTGCTCTGAAAATGTGGGAAGGATGGAAAAAAATCACAAGGAAGGGAAAAAAGTCAACTCTAGACTCCCCCTGTTGACACACCATATAGGAACAAACAATATATATGAAGAAAAATTTTAAATTGACTAAAGAATGGAAGTATGCACACTACTTGGTTTATGTTCTGAAGAGACATAAGGCCATTGCCTCATTTCATATTCAGACTACAAAATGGACACTGATAATAATTTTCCACATTTATACATTAAAGTCAATAATTTGTATACACCCTCTACCACTGTAGCCAGTAGTGCTCTTAAACTGAAGATGATTAGCAGCAAAATATGAAATTATTGGGGAAGTGACCTCAACTTACTTAAATATCTTTCAATTAATCTGTTATAACCGCAATAAAAGAAAAAATGACAGTTTAGACAGATGGAAAATGCAATCCTTTTTTAAAGGTAGGAAAGAAATAGAGTTGTGAGGAGGTCTCTGATCAAAAGTACAAAATCTAGATTGACTTGAAAAGTACACGCTATTTATTGCAGACACTGCCAGTTGCTAACCCAATTTCTCACCTCCCCGAACCCTGCTTCCTTCTTATTAACAGAACCACAGGGAAGCAATGTGCCAAGCTCAAAACAAGATTCAAATTAGCAGGCTCCCTTGCAGTTGAGGTAAACATACAATACATTTTTAGCCAATGACATGTAAGTAAAAGTCTATTGAGTGGGGCTATTTGAACAAGCCACTGGAAAAAGGTTTTGGCTACTTGCAGCCAAATGCAATACTAACTGATGAGTTACCCTTTGAACAAGACGTCCTATTTAAAAAAAAATAACATGACCACAGGTAAAACAAGAGAGAAGGAAGGGGGGGTAATTTTCTGCTCTAGTCAATAATTTCATTTCTTCATCAAATTCACTATGCAAAATACTTGTTTCTCCTCAAACCACGTCCATATTATACCACTTCTCATATCGCTCTACTGATTTCCTTTTGTACTTACTTTAGTTTTAATATCAATCTTATTTCAAAGGCTCTTACTATTCTCATTTTGATCTATTGTTAGCTTTGTTCATTGCTTCAGGCTCAGACCCTTGCCAACTTTGTTTCTTCGCACTCTCTAACCAAGTAGCAGGATCCTACAAAACCTTTTCCAAAAATAAAGGCTGTTTCCACAATTAATGACAAGCTGAAACTGCCACATGCCCCAATACTATTTTTAACTATTTCCAGTGACTGGATGTCTTCTTTAATATTTATTTCCATTTGCCTTTAGCATAACTTTCACACAATTGACTGGCAAATCTGACTGAATGTATATTATTATCTCTCTTTCCACTTATAAAGGACCTAGCATATTGGTGACTCGGTGGTTAAGAGCTCAGCTGCTAACCAAAAGGTCGGCAATTCGAATCCACCAGCCGCCCCTTGGAAACCCTATGGGGCAGTGCTACCCTGTCCTATAGGGTTGCTATGAGTCAGAATCGACTCAGTGGCAACGGGCAAGCATATTGACTGGTGCTTGGCATCAGGAAAGTAATTAATGGGAAGATTTTATCTAATAAAATAAAGTAGTCTAATCACACATCCTATCAAAAAAGGGGGTGGGGTTTAAAAAGGCTTCTAGAGATCATCTTTTTCATCACTTTGATGCCAATGACAGTTTTCACTATAGTTCTATGCTTTTCTTAATGCAGGACTTGAACTTTAAAATTTCTAGAGTGTAACAGTCCTTCCTTATGTCTAATTCAACCTGTTCTGATGCAATTTCAATTAATTTACTCTTATGTTTTATATAGTGGAGCTAGAAGTTGAATAGCTAATCACGCCTCATGATTAACAATATTTTTTCTTATGTAGAAAGATAATACTGTTCCTCCGTCAATGAGTTAATTGCATTTTTTTCATAATAGGGTTTCTAAGAATCCATCTATACTCTCTCATCCAAAGCCCCTCAGTGCAAGAGGGCTATCAACCACCAATAACCATAATAACTATATAACAGTCATCCCTACACTTCTCTTCTTCCAACTAAATAATCCATCTCCCTTAGCTTTTCCAATCCCTTAATCTTTATTGTCAACATTTAGACTTTCTCTATGTAGAATTTCTATTATTAGTAGTAAAATCAATAGTATTTAGTTTTAGAATTGAACGTATCTAATTTAAAAAAATACATACACAAGCTCTTATTTCTATTTTCCATATTTACAAGACAGTCAAATATAGGTAAGTACCAACAACTTTTTGGGGAGACGGGGCAAGGTTTGATACAAGGCAAGGAGTTCAAGCCACTGCGGAGCCACAAAGCAGTGGCTCCATCATAGTCTATGAGCTGTGGAAATGAGATGACTGGGAAAAAATAGATCAGGGGTCAGCAAACTGCAGCCCGTGGGCCAAAACCAGACCACTACCTGTTTCTGTATGGCCTACAAGCTAAGAAGTAAGAATGATTTTTACATTTTTAAAGAGTTGAAAAAGATGAAAAGAAGAATAATATTTTGTGACATAAAAATTATATGAAATTCAAATTTCAGTGTCCATAAATAAAGCTTTATTAGAACACAACCACACCCATTTGTTTATGAATTGTTTCTGGCTGCGTTTGCACTACAATGGCAGATTTGAGTAGTTGTGACAGAAATATATGGCCTGCAAAGCTGAAAATATTTACTTTCTGGCCCTTTACAGAAAACGTTCACCAACACCTAATCTAGAAAATCATCTTCAGTAGTCTGGTGGCCTGCTGTTTAAAACAGAGAAGCTCTCTGATTTAAGAGTTACACTCAGGTTGGTTATTTCATGTATCTCACCAGAGGTTCTTATTTTCTCAGGTGATTCTATTGGAGTCCAGAATCAGCTCCAAAGGAAAATGTGGAACTTTCTTGGTCTTTGAGGTTAGGAAAGAGACTAGGCATGAATAAAACCATTTGGAACAATGATGGTTCCCATAGGGAGGAGATGGACTAGAGGATCCTAGAGTGCCAAGTGGTGATGTACTGCTTAATCAAGAAAGCCCCAAATCTGTTCAGGGATACTGAGGCATTTGATAATTTTCAGTAATTTTATTGTACATTTATTTGAAAAAATACCTAACACATTTTCTATAAGTTATTCCATTATTTGAAAGCTTGACTTACTAACTGAAGTGAAAGATATCTGAGCTGTCATATTCCTCTTCAAATATAGAAAACCTCAATGGAAGATCGATGTCTTATATGACATAATTTTGAAAGATGCCAGAAATAACTGACTCCTTTTTCACTTAAGTGACAGCTACTCTAAGGCTCCCCTAGTTTCCCATTGTAACAGGTGTCAAAGGAAAGTAGTGTTTCCAAGGAACTATATCTCCAGCAAAAAGCCAGGCTCACACACACACCTAGTCTCTTTTTGATGTACTCTGGACTAAGTTTTTCCTTAGATCCATACACTCTATTAAAGGATTTTAAAAGGCCAAACACATTAATATGTCGTGAAAATGCTGCCACTGTTTTCTTCTTGTAATTATAGATGGTGGTGGTTGTTGTTAGGTGCTGTCGAGTAGATGCTTATTGTGTGTACAAAGAACGAATGATGTGCAAGTACTAGTGAACTTATTAAATTGTTTAATGAGTCTCCCATCAATTCTCTTTTCCTGTCACCCACTGCTACCCTTTCTCTATTTACTCAGGCATAAGAATATGTTAACGTAATCAGTTGAGATGGGAATATTAATAATGTATTACAACAGACGTTAGTTTCAGAAAAAAAGGAGGCCCCCTCAAAACACTACATATAGAGAAAGTGGGATGTTTGCGGAGTAGAAGAGTAAAAAAAATAGCCTCTGGCTGGAACATTCAGAATTACAAGCAAGAGTTTATTTTGAACCAGAATTTGATGTCCTACAAAAACAGTGGGCCCAAGAAAACTGGAAAAGGCAACTAACACAAATACTTTTCTTATTCATACAAAGAGAAACATTATAAATGGATACAGTTCAGAAGAACTCATTGATATTGTTCTTTTGTGGGGTAGACAGGGCAAATAGCCATCTTTAGGTTCTGTTACATTAACAATAGTTGATGAAAGAATGTAACAAGATAGGGTAGTCTACTTGTTGCTCCCACTTGGGTATAACATAGAAGGAGGTAGGGGTGGATCAGAAAAATGAAGCCTCTTGCTCCTTGGTTTTATGTTATGACTTTTTTGGCCTACAGGGTCTCCTTGAATTGGGACTCTCGATTTGGGTATACTTAATAAGTCAGTCACATGTTTTTTGTTTTTTTTTAAAAACTTCCAATATATTTTAACTTAAAATACTTAGTAGAGAATGTAGTTGCTGGGTGTGCTTAGTTTAAGGGAAGCAATAATTTTGTAGTTACTTGTAGATTTATAAGTGATAAGTTCAAAGGAAAAGAAATATCAAATAATTAGCCTTTAAATGGAATTAGAGTTGTTTCTTGGTATGGAGTATTTTTGTCTATATTATAATCATACATGCATTTGTGAAAAATACAGTTTATGAATTAACATTAAGCAGACCTATGTTTGCCATCTAGGGGAGATTATTTTTAAATCATTATTCCTAGGTTAAGCTTTGGGGGATTTTTTTTTAAGCCTAAATATAATCAAATGGTTAATATCAAGTTAGGAATAGCTCACTTAAAGTCTGATTCTCTTGTATCATTTCACTTTCAAAATAAAACACAGAAGCCTGTTTTTAATAAGAGATGGAGGGGGTGGTTTCTGAAGGTCATGAGCAAGGAAGCCTATGTGCAGAATACCTGCCCAGTAGGGCAGTTTACTTCTTGTTCTCACTTGGGTATAACATAGGAGGTGGAGATGGGTCACAAAAATGAAGCCTCCAGCTTCTTGGTTTTATGTAATGACTCTGCTTACCCTGAAGATTCTAAACTCCCAGAAAAATAAGTGTCTCTAATTAAAAATTAGGAATAAGATATTGAAAAGTTAGTAGCTGCATATTAACAGGGGTGATAAAAGCAAGCAAGCAAGCACTGGCTTTGAAAAATGAAGCTATTTCCTTTGAGAAAAGGAATTACAAAATGACCACTGACTGCAGGAGTGATGACCTAGAATTATAACAGAACTCTTAAGGATTATTTTATACAAGCGGTTTTTCTAATAAATGACCTCCAAGTCACTACTTGCATCTTCCGGATACTTCCAGACACCATAAATTTAAAATAGTATAATAATATGAAAATACTATGTGAGGGTTGACTAAGGAAACCTGAAATGATAATTACACACGACAAGTACTCATACCCCAAATGTTTTTAAAAGTCTGATTATTAAAATATATTGGGAAACCTATATAGTTAATGATTAAGCCACTTAGTCCAACTATCTGGACAGTCTTGTCTTATATAAAACCCCACTGTGACAAAGGAACAAAAATTGTGGGTAGGAAAGATCAGTACCATTAATATCATGTCACTAATAAGAAAGGGCTTTATCAACTGGAATGGGTAAGAGTTGAAATGGGTGTTTTTCCCCCAGTGAATAGCTTGGTCTCTAATCCATTAAACTATCTTTTATTTCTTAGAATATTGGGGCGGGGGGAAAGATTCGAAGACTTACTCTGAACTTATCCAGAGCAAATGTCAATATTTTAAACTTCTCCAGCATTACAGAGATTAGAATACTGGTTGACTACCAGGATCCTATTGATAACAGAGGATAGAAGAAGAGAGGCAAAAAAAAAAAAAAAAAAAAAAAAAAGGCCAAACAACGGTGGTAATGATAGATATATAAGTCACAACAGGAGATGTGGTCTCTCCGGCTTCCTTTTTGGAAAGGTATCTTACTCCAATTTTATCTAAAATAACAAAACTATACCTTGTAGTTAGTGTTAATTTATATAACCAAACTATCGCTATGTTAAACTGTACTTAGGAAGACAAAAGGTGACCATCAAATCAAGCTAACCAAATCAGTTTACAGCAAAGAAAACTGGTATTTCATCAAGAGAGAATGATTTGTAAGCTTGATAGGCACAAACCATAATATTTGTAGTAAATAAACTTCGGATAATATTGAACTTTGTACATTTAATCTACAAAGGAAAATTTCTTATTATGTGGCTTCTGATAGGTAACAGATTGGGTAAAAGAAGAAACAATAGTCTGTCCTCTATAATGGAGGATTTTAACCTGTTTAGTAAACTACCATATGGGGCTTTTAAAAATAGAAAATGAGGAAATATGTTAACTTCTGCCCAAGATTCTATTAGAATTTAAATTAGCTGAATATGCTTTTTCAGTTGTACCTTCAAGATGAAAAACATATATACTGCACAAATAAAATATTCTACAACATATCGATTTATTTATAAGATATAATTTGAACCTTACCAACAATATATGCCCAGATAAGGCATACAGATGGTCTATGATATTTTCTAAGAAAAACTGTTTAAAAAATGAAATCCTAGCTACATTTTTACCTTTAATTTTACCGAACTGCTTGTTTTATGACTTGGCAAGAATTTCTGTGTAAAGAAATTCATTCCTATGCTTAAAACATAGGCACACACTTACGGAGTTCACCAGCTGCATTTCGCCCACCAACTGCATACAGATATCCTTTGAGGGCACTTAGGTGGAAGAAGGTGCGCTTTTCATTTAAAGATGCAACTTGCATCCATTTATTATATCGAGGATCAAATCTGAAGACTGTATCAACTGCTGTTTTTCCTTTTGTGTCGTAATTACTCTGTCCACCAACGACATAGAGAAAATTTCCAATGACAGCAATGCCATGCTGGTACCTTGGGGCATCCATAGGGGCTAATGATTTCCACTCGTGGGTCTTTTCATCATACATGCGCAATTCTTTGCTGACAACCAGCTGCTGCCTCAGCACTCCTCCTAGCGTAACCAAATGAGTGGTGTCAGACCGAATGGCAGTCCTGTCTGACTGCATCACTGGCTGCATATATGGCATCATTTGGTAATTGCTGGCTTCCAAAAGCAGATTCACACAAGTATTGTCAGTTCTCATGAAGTCCACGGTTTGCACATAATTAATGAGTTCCTGTGGTGTCATCAGTGGGAATCGTATGTTCTTCATTAATTTTGCAGCAAAGTCCATTCGAGGCTCTTCCAGCCGTAGCCAGCGACAGGTAGCCTTAAAGAGCTCAAGTTCAGTACAATGCTTAAGGCTGTTACTGGACAGCACAAAGGCAAGACGCTCGAAAGGGAGTTTCAAGAACTCCCCGGTGCTCAGCAATGCAGGAAAATTCTTCAGGACAAAATTATTAACGTATTTATCCACTTCTGTCAGATTGTAGGTGTTGGCAATCCGCCCAACTTCGACACAATTGTCTAAAGTGACCTATGAAGCCAATAAAAAAAAAAAAAACACACTTTCGTGACACTCTGGCCAGATGGAAAATTTGGAAAAACAGAGGGTTATTCAATTATACCAGGAGGACTGGTGCCGCAGTGATTAAGGGCTCTGCTGCTAACCAAAAGATCAGCAGTTTGAACCCACCAGCCTCTCCACAGGAGAAAGATGTGTCAGTCTGCTCCCATAAAGATTTACAGCCTTGGAAACCCTATGGGGCAGTCCTACCATCTCCTATAGGGTGACTGTAAGTTTTTTAATTCAATTACGGTTCATCTCAATCCACTTTCCAGTCATCATTCTTAACAATGCCTCAGCTAGCAGATCCACAACTAGAAAAGCTCTAGTACTTCATCCCTAAATTTTCCTTTTATGTAAACAGGCATCACTCATACCATCACTCATTTTGATTCCTTCAAAAGTTATTGCTTATTGAGGCAGGGCCAAGATAGAAGAGTAGTCAGACGCTTCCTGTGGTCCCTCTTACAACAAAGACCCCCCAAAAATAAGTGGATCATTATATATGACAATCTAGGAGCCCTGAACATCCAAGTCTAAGTTGAGGAATTGGACTGACGGTAGTGGGAGGGAGAGATGGTTCAGAAGCAGCGAGGAGTTGCCAGACCTGACCTGGCCGGCACAGGCACGCTGCAGGCTGGATCAGCTAGTGCTCAAGGGGTGAGGCAAGCAGTGGTGCTCGGGATGCGTTTTCCACTTCGGGAGAGAGCAAGGGGCAGAGAGTCTGCTCAAGCCTCCAGAACCAGAGAGAAACGGCACTGGATCAGGAAAGATAAGTACAAGCATCTAACCTACCGCGTGGATCAAAAATTTTAGAAACCCCTTTGGGAAGTACCTGTCTCCCATTTACCTGCCCCCTCCCCACTCTGCTCTGGGTCCCAGTCCAGCTTCAGCAATTGCCGAGTCCCCTGGGCTGGAAGTAGGACCTGTCATATGCCTTGAGCCATTCTACCGGCCTTGGAGAGTGAACAAATTAACAAACAGGCAAAAATAATCCGCAGGCTCCCTTAAGCCAGGAACTCAGGGCATGCACAGCCCCTTTGCCTAGGCACAGGCATAAGGGGTCTACAGACTCTGAGTGCCTTTCACCCCTGCATAGACCTGTGTGGGCCCATTTCAACAGCGTAGACCCTTATAAGCACAGTACAACAGGGTATATACCTGAAGCCTATTTTCATCTCTATCAGCTATAAGGGGGAGTGGCAGATTTGTGACATTTGATACCGCCTGCCCATTAAGCAGAGTCCTCACCTACCCACATCAGGGGCCTGAAGATTGGTGGCTCCACCCACTCCACTGGGTGCCCAAAGTCCAGCTGCAAAACCCACCCACTTATGCGCTCTAGGGAACAGGGACACGCCTTCCACCCAGACACTCAGGGGCAGCCATCAGCCCCCTGCCTTGCTCAGCACGTGACCCCCTACTGCAGCCAGATACCTATGCCTACTCCAATCACCCCTGCCCATCTAGGACTGTAGGTGAGAGCCTACACCACACACTCGGTGATCGACGACTTGGACACATGAGCTGAATCCACACAAGTAAACCAACTCCTGGGCTCACATACCTAGTAACAGCTCTAGCCACATGGAGACAGGACATGAGAGCTTCAAAGACGCCAATAATCAAAAGTTATTGCTTATTTTAAAAAAAGTTATATGCTTATAATGAAAATAATAGAACAATTATTACCAGGGTGGAGTTATTTTCCAGTTTAGCTATCTGAATATATAAGCAAGGGAATCACTTTTTGAGGCTTGGAATGGGTGTAGCCACTTCAAATTACTCAAGCAGTTTAGTTAGTTTTTGCTACCTATAAGGATGGTTTGTATCTTCTGGGCAATGTAACTTTCCTTAGCCATTCTCTTACTCTCAGCATATTCTAGCTCTGCCTGGCATCAAAAGGAACCCAAGACAGTGTCCCTAGCACAGAGTAAAATATACCAACTAGGCAAAGGAGAGACTCTGTGGAGAGCCCCTTCTTCAACAAAACATATTTTCAATACTCTAATAACTGATTGGTCAAAAGTGAAAATAGGAATATAACCTCAGTAAATATAACACAAGGAATAAATCACAAAAACAAGCCTGCCATACAAATGTCAGTATGTGTGTGTGTGTGTGTAGACACACAGACACGTCATAGGCAAAGGGCTCAAATGTATTTTTGTCACATAAACTTCCATCAATGCAACTGTATTGCCAACAGATTGGCAGATGGTTAAAAGAAAAATGGCTAATCCTTCTATGATCCTTCTATTTTAAAGATGAACTGAGACTAAAAACATGAGTCCTCTGTGTAAAATAACAGCCCGGTTGGGATATAATACCACAGAAAGCTCTAAGGTTAATAAGCATACACATACACAGCTAGTTTCATAGATTTATTATTCAGTAAGAATTTGAACTCTTTTAAGCAGCTGATTTGCTTTACAAAAATCAGCAAAATATCTTTTTTAGTTGTTTATTATACTTAAGAGGTATACATAAAAAAACCTAAAATGTAACTGTAACACAAAAGAACTATGAAAACAAATTAACAAACTGTGGGTTTCTAGAAATGCTCAGCTTAACACTATATCAATACCTTAGATTTCTAATGAGGTTAATAAGAAGTACATTTTAACCCAATTTTAGGAGTGGTAGGTTGGTATTTCAGAAAATTTTAAGTTGTGTAATTGGAGTGACAGTTGATACCTAATTGCCTACATTACCCTGAGTGTAAGGGATTCCTGTCTGAGATAATGGATCCACTTTCCAAGCAAGTAGAAAATAGCCATTCCCCAAAGCAAGGGTATTTGTACTTTTGAACACATTTATTGGTGTGGATAACCAAAAGTTGATGACAACACAAATATAATTCCCAAGTGGACATATTTTCATCATTACCAATATAATTACTAATAACAACAACAAGAAAGGGTACTTTTAAATAGACAAAACGATACTACCAGTTGTTAGTCATGAAACTGAAATCTAAATTTATAGCATGTGAAATAAACCAAGATTACAGATTAGAACAAATCTTTATACTTTAGGAATGGAATCAAGGTATTTAGTTCCTTCCTCTCTTTCCTCTTCAACTTCATCCAGTAAGAAAAATAATTACTAAAATAACAGGATAATAAAACATACCTTTTGTTTAACCAAACCAAAAACCCACTGCCATCAAGTCAATGTCAACTTATAGTGATCCCATAGGGTTTCCAAGGCTGTAAATCTCTACAGAAGCAGACTGCCACATCTTTCTCCTACAGAGCCGCTGGTGGTTTCAAACCACCGACCTTTTGGTTAGCAGTCAATTGCTTTAACCACTGCACCACTAGGGCTCCTTCCTGTTGTTTAAAGGCACTTGTAATATCTGAAATACCTTTTACATACCGGTACATTCATACACACAGACTCACAGGATAGGAAAAGACCTTGACAGACCACCTAGTCAAAACAGATAGCTGCCTACTCTTGTCTTAAAAATCACCAAAGACTGATATTTCATAACCTTCTGAATAGTCATCTTCTAGAGAGAAGGAGGACTAAGTATTTTCTATAGCTTCTGTACCACAGCTACTGCTCTGTGGGTATATGTTGTTGTTGTTAAGTGCCGTTGAGTCGATTCTGACTCATAGCAGCCCTATAGGACAGAGTAGAACTGCCCCAAAGGGTTTCTAAGGAGCGGCTGGTGGATTTGAACTGCCGACCTTTTGGTTAACAGCCGAGCTCTTAACCACTATGCCACCGGGGATCCTGTGGGTATACAGCAAAGGTTAAATGCTACGAATAACAGCAATAGAAAAATCAAAGATGTGGTGATAAATACAACTAAAAATAGAATAGCTATCAAATTAATATAGCAAATTACTAGAAGCTTATTAATTTTAAAACAAGACTCAGATAAGAAAAAATATGTAATAGGAAATTAATTTTTATCAAGTACATGTAATCAAACCTACAGAAATTAATCATAAAATATAAGGATTAAAGAATCAAAGGCTGGAATAACAGTTAACAATATAAGCAGACCAATAATGATAAGCCATTTTTGGAAAAATATAGGATGATTCAACTATGATTCATTTCAATCCACTTCTCAGTCATGATTCTTAAAAGTGCCTCAGCTACCAGATCCACAAACATTTCTTTAGCCTAGATAGTATCAAATAATGGGCAAACGCAATAATATAACATATAATACAATGCAATCCATTTATAATAGAATGCATTACATTTTGAAAATATAAAATACAAAGTAAAAAGCTTATTAAAAAAAAACCTCAAAAGTAGAAAGAACTCCAATTTTATCTGAATACATAATCTGCCCAAAATTCCAAAGAAGGTACACTTAAATTCAGAGTCATTACAGATGCTAATCCAAATAATTATATTAGTGTTTTAAAGGATAAGCAAGCAAAAAAGGACAAAATTTCCTGACCCCTTACAGGAACTGATAAAATTGTTGTTAAAATAATCAAGCGCACATTTATGTTTCCAGGACAGATTTTATAAATTGCCCTACTATAACCAAATAACCTACACAGTCATCCTCAAGGCAGTTCCAAGCATCATAATTTTGAAAGTGGTTTTCTCATTAACATACCTGTACTCACTGCTGCTGTACTAAATTGTTCAAATTACATTCCTCGAGGCACCCAAACATTGTTATCAACATAATTTGAATGGCAAGTTTCATCAGATAACTGTGATGTTATTCTGTGGAAGATCAGGGTTTTATACAAAGAAATTCCCACAAGTATCAGCTTTTTTACTCTCAAGAGAAGCAAAGACTAAGAAAGCTGGCAAAATCTGGGGGACTCCTCAGACACTCAATGTACCAAATTCTCCTTGGCGCTAGCTAGTTTATTAGAATGAGAGTCTGTCATCAGGTACAACCAATGCAGAGAGAGGGAAAGCACGTCCACAGAAAAAGACTGGCAAGAAATCAAACAAGCCACTTTGGGAAGCAAAGGATGTAACAGGCATCTTTCGTTCCACAGGTGAGAACATTGCAGGACATGGGGAAGGGACCTTTTGGTGACAACCAAGGGATGATAACAAACAAAAAACACCACTCTCTCTGTCTTTGTCTCTCTTTAGTTTCTAAATGCCATTTGAAGTGATTAAAGAGCTATATCCTGAGTCTGATGGTGTCTCCAGCTTGGGCAATCTAGCTCTTATTCCTTTGCACTTTGAATGTATTTCCCTTACTGGATACAACATTAGTTATTACAATGGTCTTTGGGCTACACGGCTACTATATTTGGCAGCAGCTCATGGTGGTAATGTACCAATTGAAATGGGTGGTTCATCAGAACCATGCTGGGGGGCTGGGGTGGTTTGAGCCCAGGCTAGGTCTCTTCTCCTTTCCATATGGAGTCCTAGATGGCAGGTGGCAAGAATAGGATGGTCATGGTTGCAGTCAGGGATGATATTTAGAATACTGAACAACCAGCACATCCTTGGTACCAACCAATCAGAATAGATGTTCATCCATAAACAACCAGTATGACGATCTGGGTACTCGCAGAATATCAGCCCTGACCATAAGGAAGTCAAGATTGGCTTGACGAGGAGGGAAAGAATTTTGATGCATTCTGAACTATAACTATCTGTACAATTTTTTCTCTAACGTATTAAATCTCCACAAAGGCAAAAAATATATGCACATTAAAAGACATGTCCATCAATTTTTATGGAATAAATCCAATTTAGATTAAATAAGAAATGTGAAAACCAAACCCATTGCCATCGAGTCAATTCCAACTCAGAGCGACCCTATAGAACAGAGTAGAACTGCCTCGTGGGGTTTCCAAGGAGTGGCTTGGTGGTGCAGTAGTTAAGAGTTTGGCTGCTAACCAAAAGGTCAGCAGTTCAAATCTACCAGCTGCTCCTTGCAAACCCTGTGGGGCAGTTCTACTCTGTCCCACAGGGTCACTATGAGTTGGAATCTACTTGACGGCAAAGGGTTTGGGTTTTTTTGGGGTGTGAAAAATATTTACTAAACAGGCACTCCCCAAATTACAAACACTGGACTTGTAGACTTTCCATTCAGAACTGTTGTTTAAATGCCCCCACCCCACCCCTAGCTTGCTGCTAATAGTATAGCATCACTTAATAGCCAAAGAAACGGACTTTTCCAATGACTTCTGATTCCCTTCATTTTTTCCCTTGAGAGAACCAAGTTCTCCCTTTTTCTGTCTTTTGCCTCTCTCCTACATATAATGATTTTTCACCTTTCTATTCCTCTCTTCAATGCTTCACCACACTCAGTCATCTCAATAAAAATTTCTCTCCATTTCACTGTGAGTTCCCCAGCCCCATCACTGATAATAAATGTATATATGGGACCAATGATACACCTTTTTCAAGATAAAATTAAATATAACTTGAAAAATAATAAATTTAAAGAAACAGTGTCATCAAGTCTGATGGCATCTTCATTCTCTGATTAAATAAGCCTTTGTATAAAATAAGGAGCCCTGGTGCTGCAGTGGTTAAAGCATTTGACTGCTAACAGAAAGGTCAGAGGTTCGAAACCACTGGCGGCTCTGAGGGAGAAAGATGTGGTAGTCTGCTTCCGTAGAGATTTACAGTGTTGGAAAACCTGTGGGGTCACTATGAGTCGGAATTGACTCGATGGCAGTAGGTTGGTTTGGGTTATATAAAAATGAAGAAAATGTTTTCTTGCTCACCTTTATTACATTCTGTTTATTTAATATTCGAATTGTAATATTTCCAGCTCATTTACAAATGCCATATTTTGGCAACTTTATATTAAATTGGGTTTTGTGGGCTGGCCTATAATCCTCTATGATTAATTCTTCAGAACAAATGCTAGATGCTACAAATTCCAAATTGCAAACAAATAATAAAAATTTTAAGCCCAACTTGTTTGTAAATAGGGATGTCTGCAGAGTATCTAGCATGCTTTAGTTCTGCAATGTCATAAGGACAAAAACGAATGTAAATTTCATAGGTATTATAAACTAAACAAAGGCAATATTCCATTATCTCCATGGTACATGAAAGTCTGAGTTTTTAGTTACATTGAAATTTTTAACTATTCTTCTTTATAACCTTCACTGTTATCCTTTTGTATTCACTTAATACTCCTCTTTTTCACAAGTACCAAGAATATAGCATAGCAAAAAATATAAACGCTAGATCCTTTAAGCAATAATAATAATTACCACCCTAAAAGAAACATATTACTGCAAAGGATGGCAAAGTTAGGAGGGGTGGTTCTTGTACTACTGAGCCTGATGCTCTTATAGGCAACTCATGTCTCTATCTCACCAAACACAAGTGTGGCTGTAACACTATATTTAAAGTTATCATTCAAATCTAATATATAAACCCTTTGCGGGTTATTTGCTGGTTCAGGTTATATGTACCAATGCTCTGTCTCATCCACACAAATGATGAAGAATGGATGGAACAGAATTTATTAGAAGCAGAGTTTTCTTTCTACCAATTCAAACACAAATAATGTTTTGGTTATGTGAGCTAGTCTTGCTATAGCATTAAAAACATAAAGCCCATTTGCTCTAAAATATTTGGTTTCAGCACACTCTTTAAAATGTGAGATCATTATATTAAAACATTATCTATGATAACTTAGCTTGTGGAAGAACTAAAGTCAAATCCTCTTTTGAAAAATGTTTATAGCATCTTGAAACTTTCAGTTCTCCTAAGTAGAAAAGGTACCCAGGGCTACTGTTTTTCCTAATTCACTTGATTGCTTGAAAGGGGAAAGGGAAATAAATACAGCAAGGCTGAACTTAAGTTTAACTAGAAAATGAAATGCATGAAAGAAAGATAAAGGAAAATCTGGATCCCAACATGTTTGAGGAAGTGATCTATCAACTTTTCTCCGAAATTATCATGGATTCAGACAGGGAAGATTTCCACTGTAAAATCATGCAGACATTTCCTAAGCAAAGATAATGAAAGATAAGTCAAGTAGAGTTGTGCTAAGAAAAGAGGTGTTACCTAACTGAGAGAGGTAGGAATAAACTATACCACAAGTAAACTTTGTCAGGGAGAAGCCTCTTCATTAGAAATGGGTTTTAGAACATCTGCAGAGGACAACAGGAATGAAGAATATAATCTTTAAGACAATATTAAGTAGTTATAAAAAGGAAGACATTTCCAAATGATTAAAACATACAGTTATAATAAATATTTCAAATAGATTAAGGAACCAATGGTTTAACTACTGGGAATTTGTCAATATTGCAAAAGTGCTGTGATATTGTCTTTGAATAGTTTTGCTTTAAATAGCTAGTGCAAAATTATTTTCTAATCCTTTTATTTTGACAATTATGTACTACCATAACTTTTCATGAATTATGCTTTTTCCTGTTTGATCTTTTTCTTTCAGGTAAAGGAACTGGTCACAATCGACATCTGAAGGTGTAAGGATTAAACTTCTGTATTAGAAAATAGGTCAAAAATGCCTCTAGTTAATGATTAGTTCCAAAGAAATCATGGCATTGTCTCTAGTTTGGCTCAGGACAACTATGTGTTCCTAAGCTCAGTGTAAAGCGATGTTAAGAGTATATAAATGTAAGCATTAAGTGCTATTACTAAATTAATTATTGGACTTAAGACATCTAAAAAGTTATGCTCAATACAATTCATTTTCCCTTGAAATTAAGCTGCTATATGATGTCAGTGGCACGAAACTAGAAGGAAGATGCTTACAGATCTTCAGGAGAAGGGCCTAGTATGATTAAATTAAAATGCAATTTGGCACCCAAATCCAGTAATGGCGACAAGAAGTATCATGGGAAATTTAAAACTTTGCTTTGACTACCTGTTCAGTAGAGATGACCTCTTAAGGAACAATCAAAATTAACAATGTAACATCATGCTGCCATAAAATCCATAAAAACAGCAGTTCGTTTAAAAGTTTACAAGTAATCATGAATACTTTGTGTATTTTAAAATGGAAACAAACAAACCGAAGACACACTTTCAAAAATCCAGTTAAATTAGCTGTTGGCTGACTTCATAAGACAGGGAGTAGCTTATTAATAAAATAATTAAGGACAAGTTCTCTTGAACCTTAGTGTTTTAAAGAAGGCTCCATGACCCAAAGCTGTTATTTTGAGGTTAACAGCAATTATTTACCAATATGAAAATTGATATGGATTAAAACTGATTATAGAAAAACATATCATCCGTCAACATAATGAATTAGAAAATATATAAAACATGTACTAATGCCATAATATTTGATCAAAAAAGCAAGCTCTATAAACTCTGGAAATCTTGGCAACATTCCTCTATAACGTAGGCACTTAGTTTCCCACAAATAAAATTCAACCAGGTGACTGCTGAGTGGTTACTTGCTTCATAGCTGTATGTGCCCTCTCGTACCTAGTAAACAAAAAAAAAAAGGCTAAAATATTTTAGTGGGTACTGTGTTTCTGTGGAATCAAGACTTATACCCTTTCAGGTTTATACATAAATGTTAGTTCTTTTTAAGACCTAGCTCCCATGTTATAGGAAAAAAAAAGTATTGAGCCTATTTTAAGAGACTACTAGAAGCTCAAATTACTTTTCCACAGAATTCCATTTAAGAAGGCTGCTTGTATAAAATCATCAAGGTAAAAAACAGATTACAGTATATAACATTATCAAACATGTTAAAGTATATATCATTATCAAGCACTGTTAGTGTTTGATGTCATTTGATTACACAGAAGGCTTTTCTTAACCGATTCCATTTTATAATATAATGCACCTGTACTTTTTTCTTCTCAGCTTACTTACAGACCACATACTACATGTCAACTCTCTCTAATGCCAGAAGTTTTACATGTCTACACAGCAGATACATGAGTCCTACTCTAAATAGGCTACATCAGAGTCTACCCAGGAAAAATAAAATTTGAAAACATCTTACCCCAGATATGAGAAATACTTTACAGAAGTCCAAAACGGGCAGAATCTGTAGAAAGCTGGCCGCTTCCAGTGTGTCTTGAAGGTTGTCCATATTAAGAGAAAGCTTTGCAGTATAAATGAAATCAATAATTTTCTTTAGACCAACTTTGCTCACGCCATGAAGCTTAATGCACATTAAATCTTGTTCTTTCATTCCACCTTAAATAAAAAAACATTCAATTAAACAAAGGTGGATAATTTAATTAAGGTCAAACTCACTTCTGCTGCTAATTAGATGCAATAAACCAAGGAGAAGTCTTATTCTGTATAAGCATTCCTGACAGAGTCAGCCTTCTGCATATAAAAAAGAACATCTGTATACTAATGGAGATTGTATATGATGCAAGTGCTTCCAAAATGCTCTCCTATCACTTTGTATCTTTTGATGGATAAAGATTGTATTAGCGGTACCAGAGTCTTTGATGGCCAAATCAGATATGTGTCTGGAAAAGAAAAGCTGTGAAATAAACATGGACAGAAATATGAAAACATACACTCATTTCACAAGTTAAAAAAAACACCACCCATAACCATACATACTGGCATAATCCTTTTGAAACTGTTTCCTCTTGTAAAGACACAGCCCAAAAGAACTGAAGTTCACTTCAGAAGTAAAAGGATTTAAACACAGATTTTTTTCACATCATTCTAATATTGATGCAGAGTTTTAAAAAGCAAGTTACCTGTGAACATAGCCTTGAAGTAATCACTAGCAGATGCCATCATGACTCTGTGCACAGGGAAGGCATCATCCGTGTCACCTGGCATCAAGGTCACATCACAAAGCAATCCTTCAAGTCGAAGCTGGTCAAAGCCCTAAAACAAGAACATCAGGTGAGCCACTAATCCTGGTAAAATGGGTATACGAATCTCTGTGTGCTAAAACTCTGTTTACATATTAATATGGGTGCAATATATTTGGAATATAAAGCCAACAGAATAATCACTCAGGAGAAGGAAAAAAAAAAAACCTGAACAGTTTCCTTGATATGTGACAATGTACATTTTATTTCAACATAGGGAAAACATAAAATTAAGACTAATTTAGATTAAGAACAAAAAAGGAAAGCATAAATACATTCGCTTATTTATGGATTTCATTTTACTTGGATCCACAATCAACATCCATGGAAGGCAGCAGTCAAGAAATCAAACAACGCATTGCATTGAGCAAATCTGCTGCAAAAGACTTCTTTAAGGTGTTAAAAAGCAAAGATGTCATCTTGAAGACTAAGGTGCGCCTGACCCAAACCTTAGTGTTTTCAATCGCTTCATACGCATATGAAAGCTAGACAATGAATAAGGAAGACCAAAGAAGAATTGACGCCTTTGAATTGTGGTGTTGGCGAAGAATATTGAATATACCATGGACTGCCAGAAGATCAAACAAATCTGTCTTGGGAGAAGTACAACCAGAACGCTCCTTAGAAGCAAGGATGGTGAGACTTCATCTCACATACTTTGAACATGTTATCAGGAAGGATCAGTCCCTGGAGAAGGACATCACGCTTGGTAAAGTAGAGGGTCAGCGAAAAACAGGAAGGCCCTCAATGAGATGGACTGACACAGTGGCTGCAACAATGGGCTCAAACATAACAATGATTGTGAGGATGGTGCAGGACCGAGCAGTGTTTCGTTCTGTTGTACACAGTGTCACTATGAGTTGGAACTGACTCAGCAGTACCTGACAACAACAACATTTATGCAACCATTCACTTTTACCTTATTTTGAAAAAAAAAATTACCATGTACACTTCCATTCTCCCAGCTGCAAAATTAGGATGTTAGACTGTTTAATGCTCCTTTTCATAATAAATGGAAATATTTTAATAGTTCTTTTATAGTGCTTTACACCAAGACATCATATATTTTTTTGAGAAAGAAAGTTAGAGAGTATCTGCATTAACTGCAAGACAGAAGTTCCTTTCTATCAACTAGATTATTCCAACTCTTTGGAAAGCAGGGATTGTGCCTTAGACATCCCTATACTCAGTATACAGCTGCTACTTGATGAATTATCTTTCAAGTTTCAAGTTTGGGATTTAATTATCTTTGGTAAAAAGGAGCCCAGGGAGTCTCAACTTAATTGAGACTTAATTATCCCCAAATGCCTAAAGGATTACTGGAGGATTAATAGGCTAGCACCCACAGCTGAGGGGAGGGACAGGACGCTGGTGAGAAGAATGACCATTCATTAGTTCTTCCAACCACTCCCTTGATGATCCCAACCAATGACAAATAGGCAGTTATCCCTTGGGAGAATGAAACACTTTTAAAATTATAATAGGCTGGTGAAATGTGCCAAAAGGGAACAAAATACAATTTAATGATGAGGCCCAGAACGAAGATTTTTGCAAATTTTAGTCTGTAGTTTCAAAGACAGAAATATTCTGTTATAAATATCATAAAGATACGCATACAAATTTCTCTCTAATAATATAATAGTGTAATGCAACAACCCATAGCAAGGATTATTCTTCCTCTTAATATTTTAATGACCTCAAAAAAAAACTTTTATTTATAAAAGTTATGCTTCACTGATTTAAGAAGCAACAGGCACAACATACTGAAGAATGCAATTCTAGAAATATTGATCTATACATGTGAATAACATAAACCTCAGTCTAATCATCTTTTAATAATAATTTTTAAATTTATTTTTTAAGGAACTGCTTGAATCTACAAAAATGGAATTTCAAAGAGATTATCTGATCTAGCCACTTTCTCTCTCTAGAGAGAGAAATATTCTTATTCCAAAAATATTTATACCAAAAACCAAAACCAAATCAATTGCCATCGAGTCGATTCTGCCTCATAGCAACCCTATAGGACAGAGGAGAATTGCCCCATAGGGTTTCCAAGGCTGTAAATCTTTACAGAAGTAGACTGCCACATCTTTCTCCCACAGAGCAGCTGGTGGGTTCAAGCTGCCAACCTTTAGGTTACCAGGTAAACACTTTAACCACTGTCCCACCAGGGCTCCTCAAAAATATTGATACATTATACACGTATTTTAGAACAGAATTGTGCATAATATTTTCTTTCTCTTTCTCCAACAATGATTAGCATCAGTTTTTATTCCCAAATATCAAATCTTTTACAAATGTTTCTATTTCTTCTAGACCTTGGGTTCCATTTAAGACGGGGTTGTTGTCTGTCCTCAATATTTTTACTCCAACCTTTCCAACTCCCCATCCTATAATTCTCTCCATATCTTTTTTCCCCCCTACATATCCCTTTGGGGAAAAAAGAGAGTATTAAAAAATCATTTTTATTGTCTCTGTATTAAACTTAGCCAATGTATCAAAACTTCAAATGCTATTAAATAGAGGGAGGCACCTTTGTAATACCCTGAAAGACTAAAACATTTTAAATGGGTTTGATAAATTTAAAAATACTCATATTAAAACAGAAGCAAATATGAGCTGGAATTACACAACTGTAATATAGAAACCAGAACAGCTAGGAACAATTTATACAAAAAGTTGGTCGGATGTCAATAGCTGTCAAATTAAATATGATGCCATTGTGAAAAGCTACACTGATACTGTCAGGTGTTAAAAAGGAACCTGATAAGCAAATCTTTCCACTATATTCTGCATCAGAAAGAACGTACGAGTACACTATCGGGTTTTGATCAGTGTAATTTTGGAGAGGAAGTGGAGGAAAAAATGCATCCTGAGAAGAGTAATAAAAATTATTAATGGAAAATATGATTTATGAATAAAGGCTAAGGAACTAGAGAAGAAAAGGGTAAGGAATGGCTTTACTCCAATCTTTAAATGTAATTTATTTGATCAAAACAATACCAACCATGTTTTTATGAGGCTGCTCTTCATTTAATTCAGAGGACAGAAAAGGAACAGACGCACTTAAGTTGAAAGAGATACATAGGTTGGACATAAAAGTTTATACTGATATTAATTAAACTCTGCTCTTACCATATAACACTTCTCAGTATTTAAAAACTTCTAATGGCTCCCTATTACTGTGTTATATCGCCACTCCTGGTTTTCAAACACTTCTCTAACCTGGCCCCAACTCAACTATTCAACCTTATTTTTCATTATTTCCCTGTGAACTCAAAATCCATCTTATCAGATTGTTCTCTAGACTATCTCATGGGTGGGGAAAAAAATAGCCTTACTCTGTTTCCAGTATTTTTATTTATGTCATTTTTTTCACATGGAATGCCCTCCCTTCTTCAAAGTCTAGTTCAAACTTGATCTTCTTTGCAAAGCTATCTCTAACCAACTCTCTTCTAAAATAATTAGGCACCTTTAGTCTGGGTCACACAATTTAGTATTTAATTATAGACTACAGACTTCTGCTTCCAGCGAAGATGGGGCAACAGGGACTAGATTTACCTTACCTCCTCAAACAAAACGACTTAAAAACCAGACCCAAATATATATATATATATAACACTTTAAGACACTGCACATCAGGATGAAGGAGAGAGATCTATGAGAGATGAGAAACAAATGAAGTAAGCCATAGGATTGCCACACTTTACTGCCTGGAGAGTTTCCAGACTGGGGCACAGGGAGTGGGAAGCCCAGCAAAGCCCAGCATTCTGTCAGAACACAAGAGGAGAGATCTGCACAGAACCAGAACTCGGGAGATCTGCAAATGGTCCCCCTCAAGGTGATTACTAATAAGTGCATGTGTCTGGGAAAAGATCCATCCAAGAGGAGCACAAGGAACCATCTCCAAAGCTCACAAAGTGCTGTCATAGTTGCTATACGAACCATAAGAGTGGAAAACCTTATAATTTCTGGGCCTTAGGCACAGTGCAGGGACTCCTGGTGGTGCAATGTTTAAGCGCTCGGCTGCTAACCGAAAGGTTGGCAATCTGAATCCACCAGCCGCTCCACGGAAGAAAGATGTGGCAGTCTGCTTCCATAAAGATTACAGTCTTAGAAATCCTATGGGAAGTTCTATTCTGTCCTATAGGCTCGCTATGAGTTGAAATCAACTCCAAGGCACACAGCAACAACAGGCAGAGTACTGAGAAGGATTTTGCCTCAGTAATGGTGAGAAGTTAGACCTAGAATAAACGAATCTCTGGTTCCACCTACCAAAGCTTAAAATTAAATGAAAAAAAAAAGGAATGATAGCAGAAGGATTGGAGAAGAAAGTCAGAATGCAAAGTACCACCCAGCTTGACAATAAGTCCCCTACCCCTTTTTTTCCAGTATACCCTGGCCTGGATTTAAGGTATCTTGAAAGCTGGGAGCAGTCGTCTGGGCACAGACAGACAGAACACCAGGAAAAGCCCTCGTTATGACTCAAAGAGTAGGAAAGGAGATTTTTAAAGCTCAGAGAAACTGGAGAAAACCCCTCAATTTTCTTTTTTCTTTTTCTCTGTTCTCATAAGCCCCAACTCCCAGGCAATTCCAAGGCAGTGGTGGTGGCAGCAGTGACAGTGGCAACAATGCGGGGAGGAGGGTGGTGGTGGCAGATGCCTAAAACTCTGAGGGAAAGGAACCCTTCTCTTTGATCAGAGGAGCTGTGGTAGTTTCTCTGCAGTGAGTCCCCACTGCATGGACATTTCAACATTGTTCTCTCAGTAATTTATTTAAAAAGTAAACAGAAATCAGTAATGATATAGAAGACTTGAATAACACTTCTTGATCAAATAGACACTTACAGAATACTTCACCTAACAACAGTAGAATGCAAATTCTTTTCAAGTGCACATGGATTTTCCAAGATATACCATATTCTGGGCCATAAAACTAGTCTTCATAAATTTAAAAGGATTCCAGCCATACAAGGTATGTTCTCTGACCAGTGTAGAATTAAATTATAAA